GTATAAGAAAGCATGTACGTTTTAGATTAAAGATGAGATTACACATCTGAAGCGACGTACGTTAGGACATCAGAGTGGATAAGAAGCAGGGAGTCTCACAGGTGGTGAGCGAGTGAGAACCTCAGCAGCAGCGCCCCTTGACGCTATCACGAAGAGTTGTAATCCCGACGTGTGCCGGCTCAAATAACGACATAAAAATCAAGCCGGTTCATACTTAGAAGATGTTAAAATTCCAAGTTTAATAGCGGCAAAGCTAGTTAAGATAAGTTCAATACCGGCTAAGTATTGAACCGAAATTATTTCTTTGTGTCGTAATTTGAGCCGGCACAAGCCGGGGCTACGACGCACCGTCTACTAGCTTGGCCGGTTAGATTCTTAGAAGTTCGGGGAACATTGGGGGTCCGTGGTATACTGGTGGCGAATCATAGCCCCGGAATGAGCCAGGGTTATGTTACAAATCGAACCGGCTTAGTAATTAGTCGCTCTCAAACACAACTAACTTGACCGGCTAAATCTTTAGAAATAGCAGTACATTTACAGAGCAGTTGGCATTCTGGATCTGGTAAGTTCCAAATCATTTTGGGGTTCTTAACAGTCAAACGACGAAAATGGAGCTGTAAATTGTGCTCTCATCGTGCGTAAAAACTGCATGGAACCAGACCACCTGAAGTAAGCCTAACTTCGAAAATTGAACGAATATTTTCAGCATTGCGTCTATAAAATTCCAACCTACATTATTCCACAGATGGCCGTTCGGACTGCATGCATCACACTCAGTGCTTGGAGCACTAGAAATGATGTATAAGATCTTTTAATTCTTTAGGACTGCATGCATCACCCTCAGTGCTTGGAGCACTAGAAATGATGTATAAGATCTTTTAATTCTTTAGGACTGCATGCATGCATCACACTCAGTGCTTGGAGCACTAGAAATGATGTATGAGATCTTTTAATTCTTTCGGACTGCATGAATCACACTCAGTGCTTGCAAGCTGCAACACCAGAATTGATGTATGAGATCTTTTAATTCTTTCGGACTGCATGCATCACACCGTGTGATTGCAGGACCAGAAACTATGCATGAGGCCTCTAAATACTCAGTGGCTGTATGCATGACATCGAGTGCTGTTAATACCTCCACATTTGACATCCAGTGAACCTACAGAACGACCGTGAGAAGAAGATGTCCGTTAGGCAGCATCTTTACTGTAACATTCCCTCGCCTCTTGTCTGCATCCTGTATACTCGCGGTGTGACCAACTGCCAACAATTCAACGCATACACGAATAATGCAACAACGGTACTAAAAAACGGTATCTCTTAATATATGTGTTAGTCTCGCTCACACGGCATTTTTCCTATCATAGACCAATTCATAAATTTCTCAGTCAATTGTTTGTGACAGAACTGTACAATTCGAAAACAATTCTTATGCTTATTTTATGATTCATTTGTGTTTTTAGTGAGCATCCTTCACGATCTGGATGATTGAAAATCCTGAGCTAATAACGACTTTTGTGTTGATGATTTATTGGTTATGATTGTTATCAGTGTTATCTTAGAAGCTTGGGAAATGCAGCTGGCGCTATTTAAGCAGAATCTCATATGCCGATAAGCTCAGTTTACGAGTGACTTCTTCTTAACAAGTTGTCTAATTCTTACCGGTCTCATTAAAATAGTTATACCCGCCTGTCGCCAGTCACGTTCAAGTTTCTACACCCGCCTGTCGCCTGTCACGTTAAAATTCCAACACCCGCCTGTCGCCAGTCACGTTCAAGTTTCTACACCCGCCTGTCGCCTGTCACGTTAAAATTCCAACACCCGCCTGTCGCCAGTAACGTTCAAGTTTCTACACCCGCCTGTCGCCTGTCACGTTAAAATTCCAACACCCGCCTGTCGCCAGTAACGTTCAAGTTTCTACAACCGCCTGTCGCCAGTAACGTTCAAGTTTCTACACCCGCCTGTCGCCAGTAACGTTTCAAGTTTCTACACCCGCCTGTCGCCATTCACGTTACAGTTCTACAGTCGCCTGCCGCGTGTTGCAACGTCTCAGCCTCTACACCTGGCATTCAGAAGTCTTTTTATAGTCTTGAAATTTTTTGGTAAAATTGTCGCGGTATGGTACCGAAATTATCAAACTTGTAGATAAGTTGTCTCGTCTTTTGTCCATTCGACTCGCGCCAATCGTCCGTGTCGACATTGCACTGAAACTGTCCAGGTTTCCCTAACGATACTCAACTTCATGGATTCAGCATCGGCACTTCAATGCCAAGTTCTGAACATGATTATCTTCTTGTAGTAATGAATATTAGGAAAGTGGATTATAAAAACTTGTGTAAGAACTGATTTAAAAAGTAATCAAAACTCCAACAAACATAAAATTGGTCGAGTATATATACGTTTTTCTTCCTAAAGGAGAATAAGAATTCTCACGGCGGTAAACGATTCTCTTTTATCTACATAAGTTTGAAAAACAGGCCATATTATACATACCACGTAATTTTTAACTGTATTGTGTCAACTAACATTTTTTATTTGAAGAGAGAAAATTAATATATTCAGAGTCTAGACATTTGACCAATCGATTTTTAATTTTATTAACAATATTTTAGGTTGAATAACTTGTCGTATTTTCAATAATTAGGCTGAGCCAAACCTTCGGGCATTGATTTTCTAAAAAATTTACATTGAAATCGAAACTTTTTTTGTTCGTAAAATCTGGAGTTTGCAAACTCGCCCAGTAAAATCAAATCCTTCAAAGGGCTCAGCATTATTGGCATAACATCATTTATTGTTTTTATTTGTATATTTAAATATATTGAAGGTCTTAAGGTCTAAGTAGCCGAGATCTTTAGGTCATTGGAAGCCATGTCCGATTGATAAGCAATATCAGGTAAGTGAGAATAGTGCACGTAGCATGTATTAAGTGCTGTAATCAGAACCTCCCGGTCTTGTACGTGAACATAATACGTTGTGATAATTTTTTGCTTGTCTATTTCTAAAAAATATTAGCCCTATTAATTAATATCAAAATTAATTTATTATTTTGTAATTATACAAGTTATTGATCAGACGGGCTTTGGTCACCTCATGCAAGAACCATCTAAGAGAATTTACTTCGCCATTCATTGAAGCCAAGAGATTGGGCGATCATTTGACTGGATCATCTGAACAAATTGCATTATTGGCAAATTTGTTCGCATGGCTCAGCCGAATGCTCGCTTAACATTCTGCAAGATATTCCCACGTTCAAGTATTTGTAAGAAGAAGTCAATATAATGGAAAATAATATCACATTCTCCTAGCAAAAACTGGACTGAAATGGTGCTCGAACTTGGAACCGAGAGAAGATGAGCTCCAAAACACGAAAGCCATACACTTTCGATACTGTTTTTCGAAACTGTGATGCATCAAGCAGGTCGATCATATGTCTTTGGCCCTGCCAGTGTTCTGTATAATTTGTTTCATTATAGACGTGACGTCAAATATTTGAATAGAGTGATCGCGGAGTGACATGTTCGGCAGCCGAATAAAGGATTAATCATTTAGCTTTGCTTCTTGAGTTCCAGCACACTTACTCTTCCATCAGTGCTTCCATCAAGCCGTCCAGTCCAGCAGAGACGCGGCACAAGCCGTCCAGCAGAGACGCGGCACAAGCCGTCCAGCAGAGACGCGGCACAGTTCTGTCTTATTTTACGAGCAGATGAAAGTATCAAGATTTGCGAGTCAATGAAGTATCTCAAGTATAATGAATGGGTTTATGGATACAAATTTGTTCGTCATACTTGGGATGTTTTTCTTGACTAATGCTGCGAGTCTTCTTAACCTGGAAATTGTTGCGGCTTCTCATTGAGACTCTGAGAAACAAATTGAAGATTCATAGAATTTCCAGACTGGTCGACTTTACTAGGTTGACAAAAAAGTATGTTATATGATTTAAAAAATATACATAAAAAATCACAGAAATCTCAAAATCAAACAGCCAATGGCGGTATTTAAGAATTGTTTGGCTTGAATATATTATCATCTTAGAAGTTATCGAATATCTGTGTACTTTCAGAACTAAGGACTTGCGTAGAGATTACAATCATTGTAGATCTTGCGATCGTCGTGAAACTTACGATGCTTGTTAAAACTACGATCAATATGAATATTCGATCATCGTAAAGCTTACGATAATCATATAAAACATCATAGTTGAACTGATTATACCGTCCGCTGTTTAATAGTTACACTCATAATATTATTTGGTCATTGTACAAATAGTGACGCACTTTCTTACCCTCAGTTCGAGCAGAGAGCGGACGTGTAACAGCGATACGACCTTTTGTTGGGCCATAGTGCGTCGGGATGACCCACGCTTGGCCTATAGTTGCATCGTTATTTGGACAAAGTCCCAGTCATTCCCAGTCAGAAATCTGATTGTAGGAATCACACATGCACCAGTGCTGCCGGTCGGAACTCAACGTAGCGAAGTTCATATTTAAATAGTGCCATTATATTGAACCTCCAAATTGTTATAAATAAGTTAAGGGATTTGTTATGAAACTAATTGCTGAATATTTTTCGCAAGTCCACTTCAATGAGTTTTATGTGTGTATATAAAATCCATCATGGCGTCCATTGAGCTCACGGTGATGGTGAAAACAGCGTGCGGTGGGCACTTGTCAAAGAACGTGATCTGCTGCAGATTATTTATGCTATAAATGTAGATTGTAATCAAATATAAGACTGGTAATTTCATTCGATTTAGGTTACCGGATAGTTAGCAACTACCGGTTACAATAATTTGATACATACCTATTTATTGAACGTTATTTTCACTAACTTATCAATTCTGTCTTATATCAGTAGTTATAGGTATACTGGAAGTTGCGTGATGCAGAGTAGAAGAAAAGAAAATTGTCGACAGTAAAGAGTGATGAGAATGATCCACTTATCCAACTAGAAAGTTTTGGGCGTATAAGAAGTTAAATGGCCGCAGCTTGTAGCAGCAGCCACAGGTAAGACTGTCGTTGCCCGGAGCGTAGTTCGTTGGAAGTCAGTGTCATTCCTGGTGCGGTGCGAGTTGGATGTGTCGATGTGCCTTAGTCAGTGAGCGTAAATGATTATGGTATCCAAACAGTTTTAGGTGTTTTCCTTGCGAATTTAAGTTGTTACTGTGTTTTTATTTTGAACAAATGAGCAATAATTGTGGCGAATGATGCTTAAGGACCACGTAAAGGGTAAGTAGCGAGCTGGAACAGGATGGTTTGCTTGGCCAGGTAAGGAGGTGACGCGACTGCACGCGTCGCTCCGAAGCCTCCCCGGTGCAGGTGCACATAATCCTCTCTGTGTAATAGTTAGGAGTCCTAAATGGAATTCTAAAGATCATGCTTCATTTATCCTAAATAGATTCAGTCAGATAACTTGATCAGTTCCAAAGTATTATCTAATTATGGAAGGGAAATCTGGTATCGGATTTTTGTATCCAATTTATGTGCACTACCTAGTATATTACCTCTTCAGAATTCCACCCGACCCGCATTGCCGGCATTGGGACTAAAATTTTGGGTATCTTGAACAATTTAAGGCTTTGTCAGACGTTTTGGTTTTTAAAAGTCCACAATTACTTGCGTGTGTATATAATAGCATAGCACGTCGTATAAGCCTGGTGGGAAAACCGACGTCCTAATTTATGTATCCTATGCTACAAATGGAAGTAGCTAATGATATGAAGCGGGCGTCACTAGTTAGGAATTTAGGCTTCACTCGTTAGGAACTTGGTCTTCCAAGTTTAGTCTGTTAGTTTCTAAAGAAGTGTTTTTGTACAGTAAGAGCTAATTTTACTGGCATATCTTGATCCTCGTGTGGCGTTATTGACCTCACAACTGAGGTTGACCAATACCTTGCTGCATTAATCGTTCTCAGACTTTATTCTGCTTCGGTTGACAAATTTCGGCTCGGTACTTTGAATACTGAACGATGGCTAGATCGCTTTCGCAACGTGACTTTGAGTAATAATGCGCTATTCCTTCGACCTGTGAATAATTAAACAACCTGCTGGTCGTTCAAGTTATGATTGCAACAACTGCCAAGACAGCGACCGTTATAATAACGTTGCCTTATGTCGCGCGTGTGTAGAATTTTAATGTCATATTTCTCAGGATTCTGGGTATATTGGCTCTGGAAATAAAATGACAAATATTCCAATATTGAGGCGTTTATTTATCCACGAAGATGTATTAAAGGTACGGTAGCTTCAACATTGCTTTAGTTAGCGCTGCATTATTCTCCATCCCTTATTAATGATATATATTCGATTATTTTACTAATAAAATTAATATTCATTATTATTATTAGTTAAATTAACAATTATGTTAATAATTGATTACTATTGCTTATTAACTTAAGTGATGTCGATAGTACTTCACCACTACTATTGATCGGCGAAGACTTGGAAGCTGGACACACCAGTTGGTGACCCACCAGTTGGTGACCCACCAGTTGGTGACCCACCAGTTGGTGACCCACCATTTGGTGACCCACCATGTAATTGGTGACCCACCAGTTGGTGACCCATCTTCCAGTAGCGACAAGACGACGAAGCAGCAGGACGGCATCTAATTATTCAGTTACAGCCTAAACCAAATACAGAAGCGATAAGAGATAACAACGTACTTCCTTATCGTAGTATCAATTCTCTTACTGAAAATTAGATTCAAGACGATTTTGATTTACTTCAATATTAGGACATGATTTATCTCAATTTTGTTTCTGCGTGAGTCGTAAAAATATATTTGTTACGTGCGCAGGGCCCATACAATTAATTGAAAAATTACATACAATTAATTCAAAATTAATACAAAAAAAATTCACTAATGCCGAGAAGTAAAGTTCAAAATCACTGCTGTTTTTATAACCTGGAGTAAGCTAGATTGTAAATAAAATTATTATTATTATTACTATTATTGAAGTGAACGATCAAGTCACTGTATTTTCGCTAAGTATTCACTTAGTGACTTGATTATGATTACAATTAACTGATGATAGAATGATTCGTACGTAAGGGATGAAAAGTTGAAGGCAGCACGAGTTGGAGGCTACAGGTATGCGGGCCCCGTAGCATGCTCCTCTCGTGCACATAACTCGCTGACCTTTGTCAGGGAAGTTGAGCTTCACACTAACAAATGGATAGGCCACATTATCCACGAATTAACACACTTTCTGCACGTAGCACTGATACGTCATTTTGCCGGTTCAAACTGGGTCAGGAATACCTGCACAATGGCAAAAATTGCATCGCTATTTGGACAGAAACTCACTCTTTTCCATGAGTGCAGGCTGACCTCCATGCATGCGGGGTCCTGACATTATATACGCGAGGGCAGCACTGTTGCTTTCCTCGAACGTTGTTGCCCTTGTATTCATAGGTGTTGTTTTGTCGGGTGTTCCTGTATGCCGACTTTCACAATCATGTTCCACAAAATGATGATCCAGAATCGTTTTACCTGCTGGAACTTTGATCTGTTTGTAATTGAGCTTTTCAAACATAATGCATTATTATACAATATTATAGATTATAATAAATTGTAATTATTGTAGATCAGAAAACGGTGTCAGGTTTTGAGTTCTGATGAAGATGTTTCAGATCATCGAGTAAAGACTGTTGATTGTAATTAGCAGGCTGTACAGACTGTTGATTGGCAATTGCCACGCAGTTACGCAAAGGTTCGAGTTATCTGGCTGTGGCTTTGCGTAAGTCTCTGAGAAGTTCTTAGCGTCGCGACGTGGTCTCAAGACTGGTTGGGTGGCTGCGAAATCGTTAACTCATCATATCGTAACTCTCGTCACATCGTCAGCTCTCGTCACATCGTCAACTCTCGTCACATCGTCAACTCTCGTCACATCGTCAACTCTCGTCACATCGTCAACTCTCGTCACATCGTCAACTCTCGTCACATCATAATGATGAGACAATAAGACTTACGCTGTTTGCTCTCCGTGTCGCACTTAACCTTTGCTCGGTTGCATCAGGCAGAGATACTCTGCACAATAGAGTTCAACGCGGCGGGTTTGATAACGATCTCCAGTCAGCGATTGTAGTGCTGATTTCTTAAATGCACCGTTTTCTCACAAATTTTGGAATAAATGAACGCAATTCTAAGAATTTTTCTTGAAACGTGAGCCTGCGCGCGTATCACTGTTGCATATGCTCAAAATATTCAAAGCTTGGTTAATAAGCCGCTAGCTTTTACTAACTACGGTACCATATTTCTTAATGATGAAAAGATATTTTTATTAAATCAATAAAAAAGCTGCATTATGCAAATAAGATCAACACAGAAGATAAAGATGATGTTGAACATACCGTGTATGTAGGACATATACAATAGTCACTTTATACATTTATGGAGTTTATTTCGTATCATAATAATCAGAGTCTGAGAAAAAAATGAAAAAGAATTACATAAATCATATTGTGGACTTTCATATGATGAATTTTTTTCCACATTGTGAAAAGTCGTAGATGAAGTCGTAGATGACTATAGAGCAAGGAAGAAAACTTAGTTACTTGCAAGTTGCAACCCAATTCAAGCTCTGCGGTATTTATAAACAAAATAAAAGCTTTTAGACACAAATTTCTGCTCAGAAAACAGGCTTTGTGCCGGTGATGCAAGTCTGTCTGAACCAACACCTGAGTACGGTGGAGATAAGATAGAGGAACAAATGTTCATATCTTGTGAGATGGGAATACCAGAATCAATTCAGGCTTAAATACCTGGGAATGAACGTTGTTTACATGTGTGCTTGATAAGATGAATATTGAACTTTGTTTACATATGTTTCTGATGAGACAAATGTTGAACGTTGTTTACATGTGTTCCTGATGAGACAAATGTTGAACGTTGTTTACATGTGTTCCTGATGAGACAAATGTTGAACGTTGTTTACATGTGTTCCTGATGAGATAAATGTTGAACGTTGTTTACATGTGTTCCTGATGAGATAAATGTTGAACGTTGTTTACATGTGTTCCTGATGAGATAAATGTTGAACGTTTTTACATGTGTTCCTGATGAGACAAATGTTTAACGTTTTTACATGTGTTCCTGATGAGACAAAATTACTCTCCAAGGTTTCGCGGTATTAATAATTTATTCCCCAATTGACTGTTGATTTATTAGTTAATTTTTTTGGTTCTTGCCCAGCAAGTTAAATGAATTACTTAAGTCTATATTAATTATTTTTATTCATTTCCGCATTACAGCTCGCTTGCTTCTTAGCGGAAAGCAATGCAAGGTTAATTTTATTAACATTCTTTATTACACATCAAGACTCGTTCTCGACGTGCAGTTGGAAGAACTGTGAACTCGCAGTGACGTATTTTAGCTATATTTCATAATAATGCTGTTCAATATTTCGGGCTTGATCTTTCGGTGGTGTAAGCTGTTTCGTATGTATTTTAAATTTTAGGTTCCGAGGTTGATACAGACATTGTTGCGCTGCCATAAAATTCTAGTTCGTTCGTTGGGTGTTGCTGCTTATGATGTTTCACTATTTAGTTTCAGACATTTATAACCAAATTAAAGAAGTGTTTCAATGCATACGTGAAAGTATGTATTGTGACTTGATGCCAGACATCTTATTCAGTATTTTTCTTGACGCTTAATATTCATTTGGTCAGTGAAAGCAATAAACTCTTGAAAAATTAATGCAAACTCTTGCACCGGCCCAATATTCAGGAGCCTTAGTGGAGTACAGACAGAATTCAAATTTTGAGGTAAAAATGTCCACAGTTAAATTAAGCTTCTTATTCAAAGTAAATACTTTCCACGTCTCCAGACAATTATTTTATTGGAGTGAGTGTGAGAGACATTACTTCCTCTGTCTGAAAGCTTACGCGAAACAAGGGGAGTTTTTTTTATTTTTCTGGCAGAAAAATAGACGCGGTAATTAGAAAGGGCCAAACGTTTTACACGGAAAGATTTGTCGTGAATGCAGCCATGCTTGGACGGTGCTGGACTCGCTTACAGGTCGAAAAGAAGATTGCTTACGAGATCTTTCGTTCTTTTATGGGATCGTCGCCGCTCTATGAAAGGTTGATCAATACTGGAAACGAAAGCAATGTAGTTTTATGGAGCTTTTTACATGGTGTTTTTATTTTCGCCACTCTGCGTCATCGTGTGTTTTGTCGCCGACCTTTCAATTTCTCACTGATCTGCAGTAGCAAATCTTCGAGAAG